CAGATTTATTTTACAAAAGGGACGGAACATTGCACCATTTTATTTAAAATTATTATTTCACTTCACGTATTAAACTTCACTGAATTTACAGTAGAAACAGTAGAATCCTAACCTAAGAAGCTGTGACTATACGATACGACGCCTGCGTAGAGAGACAGCCAATAAAAAGTGGGCACACTTTACCTCGGCACCTTCCCCGCAAAAGCTTCCTTCGCAGAACGAAATGCTCCATCCCTATATTCCTATATCGATGGGATAAATAGAAATGGTAAAGAAGACAATATGCTAGTAACAAATGTGCTTCATGTTCCCGATCTATCTACAAACTTAAGCCCCTTGCACAATGCCAGGCAACAGGCAATAGGAACAGGGAATAGGAATAAGAAATAGGAACAAGGAATACCAACATACCAGAAACTATATATCAATGCAGAATAGACTGTGACACAGGAAATAGACATAGAATTTTCGTCACGTCGGAAATTCTGTGCCTGTTGCCTGTTGCCAACCATCATTGCGTTCGGATTGTTATAGGTTAATTTACGAATTCTTGGCGTCGTGTATGCACTATGTACAAGTACTTTTATCAGAGCAATGATGGATTATCGTGATTATTCCAGTCGTTTCGACGAGGACGAGGAAAGGTATTTTAGCGACGAATTGGAATCATTCGATGAAAACTCCAATAAATATATAAAATATGGTGATGAATTATTAATTGACTTAGTTCGTGCTCGCCCATATCTTTATGATAAAAGAGTAGACAATTATAAAGATGCGAATATGAAGGAAAATGCATGGACAGAAATTGCCACTACTTTGAACACTACACGTAAGTAAACTTTAATTTAACCTTTTACTGACTTTGAGTCTCATTATCAGAGATAGCCCTTCTGCGTTTCAGTCTCCATTCTGTCTCATTACCATTTTACATATCATAAGATTATAGTTGTTAATATTTGACGTGTATAATATAGTTATAGAGTGCAAGAATCGATGGCTACGTCTTCGCCAACGCTTCAGCAAAGAGAGGCAGCTGCGGGAGCAAGAGACGAGGAGTGGAGCTCAAAAACCTACAAGACAAAAATGGGTCTTGTTTGACAGTCTCAATTTCTTAGAGAGACATATACCTCAAAGAAGGTTTGTTTTGTTTCTTCAGTCATAAATCTATTAATAAATTTGAACAAAGTATATTCAACAACGATTTATCATTTCAGAGGCTTTTCTAATGTCAACTGTATGAAGCAATCAAGCAGTATCAGTGAGACATTGTTGAAAAATAAACATTCAATGATCATTCAGAAAGATGAAATATTCGCCAATGACGACTCCAATGTGCGATAAGTTTTTTTTATCAATGTTATCTTACTAGAGAAATATGTTTTGAAAATTCGTTTTACTCACATTACAGCACAAGACATCAGCTTCAATATCCGGCCAGTATACATTGTCGAAAGGAATAAGCCACACAGTGCCACTTGTAGCAAATGAAGAAACTTCATTGGTAAGTAATTTGGAGTCGTGAGTAATTGAATCAACTGATTCTAAGAAAGTGTAAAATTTACTAATTTTAATATTCCTTTGCAGTCATCGACATCTTCATATCGTTCTCAAACACCTGTTGCGGAGAGATCGGATTTAGTCAGTCCACCACTCTCTTGCTTTTCGGGGAACCAGCAGAGAGTTTTTAAAAAGCGGAAGTTTGACCCGGTGGAAACAGCGTTCCATCAAATGAATCATACTTTAAGTACAATGGCAGCTGAAGTGTGTTCCCAGAAGAAAGCGGTAAACGACGATACAGATGTTCTAATAGGAAAACTCGTCACAGCAGAGCTTCAAGCGGCAATAGAACCGCGTAAAAGTGAATTAAAGCAAAAATTTATGAAATTACTATACTTTTAAACATTTTCTCTTAATTTTATTTAAACATTTCTATTAATTTTATTTAAAATCCGTTATTTCATATTATATTTTATTTTTATTATTATTATGTAATTTAAAAGTTTTAATTTTGTTATAATATCAGGAGAAATTAATTTTAATTTGAAATACTAGAGAAAATTAAGTTTCATTACAATACAAGAAAAATTTATTTTAATTACAAATATATTTTTAAATACTATAGTTTCTTAGAAATAAAAGTTTATTTGGCTTTTATTTTAATAAAAAACAATTTTATTTTTTGCATATAAAAGTATTTACTGTATTTTTCTATATAATAGTCATCACATATTATATTTATGTACATATATTTATATACACAAATCACACATATAAAAGTATAAAAAAATATATAAAATGGAATATATATATATATATATAAATAGGAAAAAAGTTAAATATTACTTATTACAGTACTTACTACAGAATATAATACAAGTTATATTAGATAATACAAGTATATTAGATAATAAAGAAAAAATAATTAAATCATACAAATATAAAATAGTAAATTTTAAGGTACATCGTGATGTTGCCCTCGACGTATGTATTCATATTG